CAATGCTTTGAGCAGGGATTGGTTTAAACGGAGGCCCAGAACGGTGAGAGGTGCTGCGGAAAAAATGCCCGGGGGAAGGACCGTTGCGAGAGGCACGGGCGGGATTGCGGAAGCAATCTTGCTGGAGATTACCAGGACCAGTCTTGTTGCAAAACTGACAAAGACGAACTGGACAATTAACCAGAAAATGAGTCGATGGAAGACTGCGATTTTGACAGTAGTTGCAGAAAGTTGACTTCTGTGGTGAAGGTGGTGAAGGAGAACTCCGAATCTGGGGAGTAGCAAGAACAGAGTCCACAGGGTGCGGATGAAGAGCACCAAACCTGGTTTCCTCTGACAGGAGTTCAGAAATTGTTTGCTCAAGAGTGGGTAAAGGAGTGCGATGAAGGAGAGATACGCGTACTGGCTCAAAACGGGAAGTGAGAGCCATGAGAAACTGAAGCAAGCGCTGTTGGTCACGGTAAGTAGTAAACAAGGCAGCATCCTTAGTACAATCCCATGGAGGTTCAGAAAGAGCGAGCTGATCCCAAACATAATACATTTGGGAGAGGAAATCATTAATGGTCTGAGTTGTTTCTTAGCGCATACGGTGAAGATGACTCAGAAGGTGATATTGGTGAGTAAGGCCAGTAGTCTGATAGCGTTCCTGTAAAAAATCCCAGATGGCCTTGGCTGGAGAGGAAGCAGAGTACTGTGCTCTTGCTGATACTACTCAGGAGCTTCTCTAGCTTCGTTAGCTTCTTGCTGATCTGGGTGTTACCCCCTCTGGTGCTATTGACCTCTATTGTGACAATCACGGTGCTCTTCAAATTGCTCACAATGATGTTTTTCATGATCGCACCGAGCACATTGAGATTGACTGCCATTTTATTCGTCATTATTCGTCTCGTGGTACTGTCCATCTCCATCCGATCTCTTCTGCTGATCAACCTGCTGATATCTTCACCAAAGCTCATTCTCTTGGCCGCTTCGTTGAACTTGTCTCCAAACTCCAATTGGTTGATGTTTGTCCTCCTTGAGTTTGAGGGGGGCTGTTAATGACCTTTGATTCAAAATTCTAAATAAATTCTGGTAAATTTTTTTTTTTCTGGTTTGGTAGATAAAGCTCAATCAATAATTAACAGTATAAATCATGAGAACTACTTTAACATGTATGTAATACTTGTAGACGAAATTCATATAACTGAAATGTTAAGACTGATATGGTGTAAAATTAGGGGTGAGTAAGGCCAGTAGTCTGATAGCGTTCCTGTAAAAAATCCCAGATGGCCTTGGCTGGAGAGGAAGCAGAGTACTGTGCTCTTGCTGATACTACTCAGGAGCTTCTCTAGCTTCGTTAGCTTCTTGCTGATCTGGGTGTTACCCCCTCTGGTGCTATTGACCTCTTTTGTGACAATCACGGTGCTCTTCAAATTGCTCACAATGATGTTTTTCATGATCGCACCGAGCACATTGAGATTGACTGCCATTTTATTCGTCAGCACGTCACTCGTGGTACTGTCCATCTCCATCCGATCTCTTCTGCTGATCAACCTGCTGATATCTTCACCAAAGCTCTTTCTCTTGGCCGCTTCGTTGAACTTGTCTCCAAACTCCAATTGGTTGATGTTTGTCCTCCTTGAGTTTGAGGAAGGCTGTTAATGGATAATGTTAATGTATAATGTATATAGTATAATATATTATAGGACAGAGCATAGAAAGCATATGATTCTTTTCTTTCGGTTGTAAAGGCCAAACACCACTCACACACTTTCATTATTACGCATAGCTTTTGTCTTCTCCTTTCGGTGCTTTCTCTATAAATGAGCATCACTCTTGTAACTAATATACCGATTGAATATAACATTCATTCAGATATCTCACATATCTCACATTATCTTTGAAATGATGGCTAAGAAACTGTTTAAGATGAAGAATACCATTGATATCATCATGCCTGAATTTGTGCTTGTTCCACAAAATACTGTTTCATAGATTTATGCAAAGGATACTGAGAGTGAGAGATAGAGAAAGGGAATGACTTTTCGCAGAGGTAGGTGATGGGAGCGAGGATGGCAAGGGCGAGGAGATCGCGAAAGACACAGAAGACAAGCTGGTTGACACCGACATTGAGAGCGACTTTGGTGATCACATGGTACCCTCCATAGCCCAGCTGCACCACCACCATTGCCGCATGCGCCTTCCATGCTTCTCCTCCTCCGACATCCCTTGCCGCCATCATTTCATCCACCGATAATTCACACTTCTCTTTCTCTATCTATATCTATATCTTTATCTATATCTAAATCTGTATATATGTATACAGAAAGAAGTGATTAAAAGCAATCATAATTTTCTATTTTAGTCCTGAAACGAGTCCCCCACCCCAGACTTGGAATTCTAGACGGCTCTTTTAATTTATTATGAGTCGTGCTACAGCCTCGAGGAGCGAACTTGCCTCGAATTTGTTTAATCGGTCGTTCAGTCGGTCGTCCGACAAAGAGGATGACAATCACAGTCGACAAGGTGACAATCGCGGTAGACAAGTGCTACCTCCAGTCGTCGAGTGATTGTTCAGCCGGTCGACCGATGATTATAAATTCACGCCATTTGCGCCTGAAGCTCTCAACATTAGTGATTTAGAGTTATTATTTCTTTGTTTAATATGTTTTTGGTTTGGGGTGCATTTTGATCTTGGATTTTATAGAGAAGCATTAAACTAAAAATACATGTTAGTTATGCCCATACAATTGGAATTCACATATAATCTTAGTTTCTGTTATTATTGTTTCTCTTATTAAATATGCTTTGATTGAGCTTATTTCCTTAAATATTTTTAAAAATTATTTTTTCTTCTGCTTTTAATTTGGATAAATCACACTCAGGTCCTTTAAGATTAAAAAATATATATTTAGTCCCTCAATTTTAACATAATATGTAATTTGTATTGTTAAGTAAAATTATTAAGAACTTATTTTTTATTTTTTGCTAAGATGTGATTTTTTATTCAAAAAATACAATATATGAAATTAGAAAAAGGGAATCATAATTTGACCTAGAATCCAGATCTATGGTGTAGGTTTTATCTTTTTTGTTGTGAAGCCACTTCACAAATAAATCATGACCTTTGATTCAAAATTCTAAATAAATTCTGGTAAATTTTTTTTTTTCTGGTTTGGTAGATAAAGCTCAATCAATAATTAACAGTATAAATCATGAGAACTACTTTAACATGTATGTAATACTTGTAGACGAAATTCATATAACTGAAATGTTAAGACTGATATGGTGTAAAATTAGGGGTGTAATTTAGACAGGCTCAATTCGAGCAACCCAAATTCAGTTCGAATTTTTTTAGGGCTTGGATAAGATATTTTCAAATTCAGCACGGGTTTGGGCAAAAATTCAGGAATCCGAATTAAATTTGGACGGACTTGGACAAAAATATCAAATAATCCGAGCAACTCGAAATCCGAATCATACCATATATAGATATATAAAAATATTACATATATATAAATTATTAGTCATTACATGATATTAAAGTAATTTAGATTATTAAATCATATTGAATATATATTATATATATAAATAATACAAAATCTTACTTTTTTTTATTCTCACTCATAAATTGTAAAGACCATTATAGCGGCATCTCTTTTATATTATATAAATTATTTGTTTTGATATTATTAATAATTTTCTAAAAAAAATATAAATAAGGTCAAATTTTAATAATTTAATAATGTAGATACCAAAAAAAAATTTTTTGAAATTCATTTACAATTCGGATAATTCAAGCAATTCGGGTTTAACTTGGGTCGGGCTTGGGCAAGTAATATCGAGCTACAATTCGAGCCTGGGCAGATCTCAATACAACTTAGACTAAATTTGGACAACCTCCTATCTTAACCCAACTCACCCGAGTTGCACCCTATGTAAAATTCAGATATTTAAGGACTAAAAATACATTTAAAGCAAAGAATGCTGCGCAATCTTTAAAAAATAATAAATAAATCTTTAATAAATCGTTCAAAAAAATCTTTAAAAAATAATAAATAATAATTGTAACAGTATACCGTCGTTAAAATAAATAAAAAAACCGTAGCAGTGGCCTAGTGGAGTCATTATGGCATTGTGTCATATGGTGGGATGGTGGGTCTGATAATCATACTCACATTTGTAGTGGGTCTAGATGTGAGTTTCTCATTTTTATTTTTTAATGTAATTTTAATTATTTGATTATACTTTGAGATACAGGGATTTTAAGATTTTTGTATAATTCATAATTAAAAGTGTATTAAAAAATAGAGAAAAGAATTTGGAAATTGAGAAGGGGTCAATTACACTTCAATTCCCTATACTAAAGGCGTTATTGTTAGTTTGTTTATATTTGTCTCAAATCTATATTTGATTCTGTAAAAATCATTTGCGTTTACGGTAAAATTGTTTGAGTTGCGCTTATTAGCATTCAAGTTGTTCAAAATTTAGAGTAAGATTAAAGCAAAACCTAGCGAGGGATATGGAAGCTTCTATCTAGAGATTCTCGACCCTCTCCAATGACTTTCTGATATTTTTTTAGCGAGTTTCAAAAATACTTTCATAATACAGATAACCAAACCAAACCAAGCCAAGTCTTAAGTCCCATCAAATGGGGTCGGTTACATGAATCCTTCTTCTCCACGCGGCCCTATCAAAGGCCATTTCATTAGTCAAATTAAGTAGATTCATATCTCTATTTATAACGCTAGTCAACGTTAATCTAGGCCTACCCCGTCCCCTAACACTTCCATCTACCGTTACAGCATCGCATCTCTTCACTACTGCCTCTGTTGGTCTCAATCATTGATATATATATATATATATATATTTGTATCATATGAATCATCTCATCCATACTTTGTTTTGTCTTGTTAGTATTATGATAGGAGTGCTGCTAATGGAAGAGAAGCTGCCAATTAGCAAGTTATGTTTTGAATATTAATTACTAGCAGTCAAGTTAGCAAGCTAAGTTGGTTAGATTATGTAAGTGTGGTAGGTAGAGTTGAGTGTGTTAGGTGAGAGTTGAGTGTGGTAGGTAGATGTAAGTGTGTTAGGTGAGAGTTGAGTGTGGTAGGTAGATGTAAGTGTGTTAGGTGAGAGTTGAGTGTGGTAGGTAGATGTAAGTGTGTTAGGTGAGAGTTGAGTGTGGTAGGTAGATGTAAGTGTGTTAGGTGAGAGTTGAGTGTGGTAGGTAGATGTAAGTGTGTTAGGTGAGAGTTGAGTGTGGTAGGTGAATATGTTTTTCTCTTCTATATATAGGAGAGTCATTGTATACAAATTAAGAAATCAATATATCAATTAATAATACATCAATTATTACATGGTATCAGAGCTATAAGATTTAGCCTATACTCCTTTCTTTCCGGCGGGCAGCCGGCCGGCAACCTTGCCTTAGCTGCCCGCTGGAGTTTTTCAACACATACCACAAACACATACCAGAAACTCTTCTTTCTTTGTTTCCTCACCTTGATCACTCTGCATGTGCTTCCTCCCCAGCGACTGTCCAAGCACAAACACAAACACTAGACATAAAACCCATCCCGCTCCGTTCTCATCGCCAGCGAATATTCCGACCACCGCTGTCAAGTTCTTGTACTTGGGCATGAATGAATTGAGAATAGAGTCACTCGGGCAGAATACAGTTAACCCACCATCGAGATTGTCATTGAATATTGATTCGGCTCCTGAGGATTTCAATAGATCTGCGAACAATTTACTGCCCTGTTTCGCCATTAGAACTGTCAAATTAAGCTGGGATGGTCCAGGAATCGGAGCTTCAGCCTCCGCTGAATTCAAGATCTGACTGACTTGAATCCCACGCCGCCGCTGCTGAAGACGGTGTCGGAGACCGACGACCTCGTGAAGCCGAGGAAGATCACTCCCCTCTTCCATAGAAACCCTCATCGACCCAAACGACCTCCTCCGGGTCACTCTCCTAACACCACCGCCGTCTACAGCAGCGAAGCTCTCCACAATGGCTGTTCCGAGAGCATCAACCGTCTTCCCAACCCTCTGCATCATCGCGATTCTCTTCTCGATCTCGCTCTTGCAGCTGTTTTTAGCTTCGAGGAAGATGGCGGTGCGGAGGAGGCAGCAGAGGAAGTTGATAGGAAACGCCGCTTTCTCGGACGGTAAGCGTGCGACGATGGATTCAAGAAGCTCTCTCTGGTTAAAACTGGCGTTGGCGGAGTCGCTGAAATCTGACGACTTCTTGCCGGCGATCGACTCGGAAAGTTCGCCTCATTACAAGCCTTAATGCTTGCTAAATCAACGCATCTTTGCACAATCTTGAGTTCCTCAGCACTGTGTAGGATCTTAAGTGGGTGAAGTAGGTGATAAATTTTAACACCATGTGACCCACTCTCCAACCAGATTCTCTCTCTCACTTTCTCGGACTCCGAAGCTCTCTCTCTCTCTTTGGGGTGTTCTGAGATCACGTGATTTTAGATGCAATGAGGGTGGCCTTTTTTATGTGGTCTCCCCGCTGTCACCTCGTGCTTATTCCCATCATACCATTATACTTTATTATAATATGTAATATTAACTCACAGATTCACACACTATCACTTATTTTTTTTTTAAATCGTTATTTTATTTTTTTATCTTTTCTTTTTAAACATTACACCACCGCCCCCAACACCTTTCCTTCACCTTTTGCATCCCACTTTACCTTTATTTATTTTATTTTATCTTTCCTTTTTTCATTTCAAACAACAGAAAAAAAACTCTCCTCTGTTTGATTTCAAAACCACTTTTAATCTCTTGATTTCCCATATATTCTTATTCTTTCGTTCTTTTTTTATTTCTCTTAAAAACAATGATACTTCCAATGGTCTCGCTGATGGCAAAAAGCACACTTATCTGATACCAGTGGCCCCGCCTTGGGGTTTGCAGGAGATTGTAGTTGATGGGTATCCGACATCATAATGAACCAAAAATAGAGAACCAATTGTGTAAAGTATAATAAATAGAAAGCTGATGGGTAAAACTGTAATGACCCAAAGCTAGCACTATATGGGTCAAAATATAATAACAGAGATTTGAGGTTCACAAAATGTAATAAATCAAAAACTAGATTTTCTAAAACTCAGTAACTCAGAGAGTTTCTAGAAGTTAAGAACCAATAGCCAGAAGTCACAACTAGAGAGGGAGAGATACCTATCGCCAATCATAAGCAGAGAAAGAGAAGAAATGAGACCACTTCGAAGCAACCAGCGAACCAGCAAAACGAAACACAGAGAGAGATGAACCAAAGTGAACAAAGAGACGAATTGACCCACAATCAAATGAGAACTAGGGAACTGTTCTTCGCAAGGAGAGAGGGCAGACCAAACCTTCATGCGAGGCAGAGATAGACGATTAGAGTCCTCTTCGACTCAGATGGGTTGTGACAACGGGTCTCGACCTGAACCTAGATGGGTCGCCACGAACAGACGAGTGGAGCAAGGGTCAACATTGACGAACAAACGAATCACGATGGATAGGTTGATAGAATCTTGACGAACCAGAGATGGATTATGGGATGGGTCAACTTTGACGACCCAGAGAACAACCTCAATTGAAGCACCAAACACCCAAATCGTAATTCCGAACTAGAGGATTTCGTGATTGTTGTTTTAGGGTTTCAAAGACGGCTCTGATACCATGTAAGTTTTTCTGAATGATTTCTGTATATTCAATTGTGTTTTTGATACAATAATACATCAGTATATATAGCCATCCAAACCCTAGAACTAAAAAAGGAAACAAAATTATATACTCAATCCCTAATATATATAGAATATATATACTACCATATATACATGAACCTAATATTCTCACAGAGACCTCCATAATCGATCAATGCAACCTCAAAACTATTTGGGGGCTGGAGCAAACTCAATTATGCATTGATGAAGCATCAATTGGTACAAGAGAGTAGTTTATAATAGTGTTTTGGAACGCACGCGTGACTGAAAAAGTTATAATTGCTTAATAATTAATTTGGTTGATGATACGATAGAAATTGACAATCTGTCTTTGTCTCAATTTATTTATTTCATATTTCCCAATCTATGCATGTGTGATTCGTGATTCGTCTTCTTCCATATCTTTTATATCTAACCCACAATTCAAATTGTTATTCGTCTTAAACTTAAGTTTTGTTGCTATTTTTCTAATTTTAGTTAATTTATCTATCCAAGATGGAAATGATGTTTCACTTGTTTGTTTTGAATACTCTTAGGATTGTATTGACTACTTAAAATCCGCATATGACGTTGTTGCCTATAATAAGATTTGGAATCTATCAAAAAAAATAAAAAAATAAAGATTTTGTGGTATGAATTTTATTTTTTTTAATTGTTCCAACATGCACTTTCAATTGTTTTATTTTCTTCACCAAAAAACCTGGGATATGCTTTCCCACCATCACTGTTGTAGTGGTTATGGTTTCGATTATTGCATATCTTGTTTCATGGAAAAAAAGTTTTATTACCAATTCGAAATTGTATTAAGCATTTAAAACGACTGGACGAAAGGTGCTGCATTTAAAAGCTGTAGAATCGGGAGATGTGTTATGCAGAATCATGGTTCCAATCAGACAATAGAGCAGTAAATAAAAAAAACAAGCACACACAAGAAACAAGAACGCAAGATAAAGTTTACAAAAAATACAAGACACCTCACAATAAGATGAATGCAAAATATGATAAAAGTTCCAATGGTATGTGTCAACTTTGGATCTAAGCACAGGCAGGCAAATGTTACTTAAAAATGTCTACAAAAGGTCTCAGGTATGAAACAAGTCAAAGATACAGAAAGAATATAATTGACCCTCTTATAATTAACATTCTATAAACTTTGAAAATATGAGGAAGAAGAACTCCGAAAATATGAGGAAGAAGGAATATATTTCTGTTATATTCAAAACTTCTTATCTTACAAGACCAAATGACACTCCTTATATAGGAGATATTACAAACATCATTATAACCCATTATATGCCACTTACATATTATATATTACCACTATCTACCACTATCATATTATATACATGCCACCAACACCACTATCATATTATATGCATTAACACAAATTTCCAGCACTCCCCCTCAAGCTGGTTTGAAGATATCTTCCATAGCCAGCTTGCTAGTCAGCTTATCAAATTGCTTCTTGTGTAGTCCCTTCGTTAGCACATCAGCTAATTGTTCACCTGTTGAAAGGTAGGTCATACAAATTATGCCAGTATTGATTTTCTCCTTGATGAAATGTTTATCCACTTCTATATGTTTTGTGCGATCATGTAGAACTGGATCATGAGCTATAGATATAGCTGCTTTGTTGTCACAATAGACCTTCATAGGTGTCGGGTGAGAAAGCTTTAATTCTTCAAGAATTCTTTTAATCCACATTACTTCACAGATTCCATGGGCAACAGCTCTCAACTTTGCTTCTGCACTACTTCTAGCTACTACATTCTGTTTTTTACTCCGCCATGTAACTAGGTTCCTACCTACAAAGAAGCAGTATCCGGATGTTGATCTCCTGTCTGTAACACTTCCTGCCCAGTCTGCATCTGTGTATACTTCAACTTGAAGATGTCCATGTTTCTTGAATAGTAAGCCTCTCCCTGGAGTTTCTTTCAGATATCTTAAGATCTTATAAACGGCCTCAAAGTGCTTTGCCCCTGGTGAGTGCATGAACTGACTTACCATGCTGACTGCAAAGGCAATATCAGGCCGCGTATGAGACAAGTAAATCAATTTCCCGACAAGTCGCTGATATTGTTCCCTCTCTTTGACTTCTTCAGCCTTAGCAGCTTGTAACTTCAAGTTAGGCTCGATCGGAGTCTCCACCATCTTACAACCAAGCATACCTGTTTCTCCAAGGAGATCAAGAACATATTTTCTCTGATTAATGAATATACCTTCCTTGGATCGTGCAAATTCCATTCCGAGGAAATACTTGAGGGCTCCCAGATCCTTAATGTGAAATTCTTTTGCGAGTTTCTCTTTGAGGGCCGCTAACTCTGCTTCATCATTACCAGTTAAAATGATGTCATCAACATAAACAATCAAAATTGCAATTTTACTGTTTTTTGAATGTTTATAAAATATTGTGTGATCTGCTTGACTCAGCGAGAAGCCACAAATTGATTTTTCAATCAATATAATTTGTAGCAGCAAGTTAAAATGATGTCATCAACATAAACAATCAAAATTGCAATTTTATTGTTTTTTGAATGTTTATAAAATATTGTGTGATCTACTTGACTCTGCGAGAAGCAACAACTGATAACTGCCTTCCCAAAGCGTTCAAACCACGCTCTTGGTGATTGTTTGAGTCCGTATAATGACTTGTTCAATCGGCATACTCTGTCGCTTCCAAGTCTCTACTCTTGGTGATTGTTTGAGTCCGTATAATGACTTGTTCAATCGGCATACTCTGTCGCTTCCAAGTTTCTGCTCAAATCCCAGCGGTAGGCTCATGAACACCTCCTCTTCAAGATCACCATTGAGAAATGCATTTTTAATGTCAAGTCGATGTAGTGGCCAATCTGAATTTACTGCAAGAGATAACAGTACTCGGATGGAATTTATTTTAGCAACAGGAGCAAACGTCTCCTGATAGTCGATCCCATAAGTTTGAGTGAAGCCTTTAGCCACCAGTCTCGCCTTGTATCTCTCAACGCTTCCATCTGCGTTACATTTTATCGTAAACACCCATTTACACCCAACTGTTTTCTTGTCTTTGGGTAGATCAACTATCTCCCAAGTACCACTTCTCCTTAAAGCATTCATCTCCTCCATAACTGCTAATATCCAATTCGGATCATCCAATGCTTCCTGTATATTCCTTGGAACAAACAAGTGTGAAATCCTAGATGTGAAAGCTCTATGGTTTTTAGACAGTCTGTGATAGGAGAGGTAATTTGCAATAGGATGTTTAATGCAATTTCGGACACCTTTCCTAATTGCTATAGGAACATCAAGGTCGGAAATAGAAGGAATAGGATTACCTAAAATTTCGATGCCAGAACTCGGGTGGACATTCGGGTCATTAGGATGGACATTCGGGTCATTATTCCTCAGATGAAATCGCTTCCTAGTATAAACCTGAAGCTCAGGATTTAGATCATTTTGTAGTACTTCTCCCCCTAAACAAGAATCTTCTTGACTAGGCACCATAGAACTTGGTTCTCCTAAGTGATCATTATCAGACAGATGTGGTTTTTGTGTAGGATAAATGACATTGGGGAGCGGGATAGAAATATCCCAAAAACCTGATACCATGTTGAAATTTAATGTATAAAGAGAAATGATTGTATTATTGATTGTTGTATGTTATAAATTACAAATGGTGAGGGGCTCCTTATATAGGAGATGTAGTGGAGTAGGTAGTAGTAGGTGGTAGTGGTAGGTGTGTAGTAGGTGGTGGTAGGTGGAGTAGGTGATGGTAGGTTTTAACAGTGATCATTATTAGACATATGTGGTTTTTGTGTAGAATAAATGACATTGGGGAGCGGAATAGAAATATCCCCAAAAACGGTCTTCTACTCCACTTGTCTCCCCCTGAAGAGAAGTGTTGGGGAAATAGGATTTTGTTTCCACAAATGACACATCCATACTCACATGAAATTTCTTGGTTTGAGGATCGAAACACTTATATCCCTTTTTGTTTGAGGAATAACCCCAAAAAACACATTTTATAGCACGGGGGTCAAGTTTTGAACGAAATTGACTGGGAACATGAACATAGGCGGGTAAATCAGAAAACAACCTCGTGTCAGGAAAAAAAGTTTTGAGACAATCAAAAGGTGTTTTGTATGTTAACACCTTTGTAGGCATCCTGTTTATCAAATAACAGGCTGTTAAAATTGCTTCACCCCATAAATATTTAGGAACATGCATGTAAAACATTATAGCACGTGCTACTTCAAGTAGATGTTTATTTTTTCGTTCTGCAATGCCATTTTGTTGAGGGGTATCCCGACATGTAGATTGATGAAAAATCCCCTTTTTTTCCAAAAACTCACCCAGCTGCTCATTGAAATATTCTGTTCCATTATCAGAATGTAAAATACCAATTTTGGTTTGAAATTGGTTTTCAATCATATTGTAAAAATTTGTGAATAAATTTTTCACGTCAGATTTTTTATTCATCAAAGAAATTCAACATAAGCGGGTATGGTCGTCAATAAATGTAACAAACCATCTTTTACCAGAAAGAGTAGTGATTTTAGAAGGACCCCAAACATCACTATGAATCAAATAAAAAGGTTTAGAAGCCTGGTAAGGTTTTGGCAAATAAGTAGAGCGATGAAATTTTGCAAAAATGGTACTTTCACAATGAAAAGAAGAACAATCAATCCCTTTAAATAATTCTGGAAATAAATGTTTCAGATAAAGAAAACTAGGATGTCATGGCGGCGGACATGGAGGCGTTATTGTTTGCACTGCCATTCTTTGCTCTACCGACCGCATCGGAAAGTTCAACGGAGCAAAACCAGAGGTGTTTGGTTGAGGTTCACTGGCCACCGCACTAGTTATTTCTCTTGTTGACTCGTTGAGGTCGGGAAAGAGAGTGAGCAGACCACGGGACGAAGAGGCCATATTCTGGGTAGCTGAACGGGAAGACGAGGCCATGTTATGGGTTGCTGAGTGTTTCAGAGAAGGGTTGGTTACAGAGTGTTTACAGAGTGTTTCACGATTTGCAGCTCTTAGCGACAAGCTCTCATAGAACGAAGAGGTTTCAACTGGTTTGTTATGCTTCCAAGCCTCAGCCTCCGCTTCGGTTTATAAAGACCATGATGAAGAGGCAGACACGCGCATCGCGCGCCATTTGATGCCAGACGACAAAACGGGCGCGCAAGCCAAGGTAGTCACGCGCCTCGCCATCATGTCCGGCACTCCTTTTTATGTATTGGGACGCCTTTTGATGGCATGCCTTTTTATGGATTGGGCACGCCTTTTGATGGCACGCCTTTTGAAAGATTGGGCACACCTTTTGAGGGTGCGACTTTTTAGGGGTCCGACAAGACTCTGTAAACTGTCCCGACATTGATTCCGGTTAGTTTCTACAAGGGTCCAGCAAGACTCCGTAAACTGTCACAACAACTGTCACAACATTGTCTGCTACAACGGTCCGACATGACCCCATAAACTGTCTTCTACATCGGTCCGACATGACCCCATAAATTGTCCCGCCATTGCTCCCGGTCAACTTCTACATCGGTCCGGCATGACCTCGTAAACTGTCCAGACATTATCTTCTCCAACGGTCTGACACGACCATACCGTGTCTCCTATCCTGTTTTATTTTATTTATCAGTTTACTTTCTTATTTTGTTACTCTCTCCAAACTCAAGTTGGTTAGTATCTATCCTCCTTGAGTTTGAGGGGGCTGTAAGTGTGGTAGGTAGAGTTGAGTGTGTTAGGTGAGAGTTGAGTGTGGTTGGTAAATATGTTTTTCTCTTCTATATATAGGAGAGTCATTGTATACAAAATATATATCAATCAATAATACATCAATTTTAACACCTCAGTTGACAGAGATTGCAAAATAAAAATAAAAACAAAATTAAATCGGAAACTTTCTAGCCATGGATGAAGCTTGACACTGCAAAACTAAAGGCACCTCTGAATATCCCTCAAATTTATACCCTCATAGTAAGCAGACAGGTATCCTCAAATTAGCTCAAGTACAACTTTCAAGTATTCAAATCGATAGTATACAGCCTTTCAGCAAGGTATTTAGAACAAAAAGTGTGTTCAAACGCAGATAAAACTACTGATTTACCCAACAGGTTTCCTTTTCAATGAGTTTCCCTTTATATTATTGAGTTTCAAAGTTATTCATTAGAATGACAATCTGCACTATGAATGAGATTCTCCAGTCTATGCAAAAAGCAACTTATTTTATGTTCACCCAGAATTATATAATGGTTGAATTGAGTAATGGTGTTTCACAATTAGCTTTTAGGAAAATTGTACATTATATGCATATATATATTAAATAAAAGATATGCATAATATTTTGAGGTGACGCACTGATAGAAAAATGATATTCAAACATCAATGGTGCCACTGAGATCTACCACATTACTCTGATATGTTATGAGTTCTGGTTTCTTAAAAGTGAGTTTTTTCCCACATATATATATATATATATATATAAGTATTCATGGCATCCTTAACACAAGGCCCTTACTCGGGGGTAAAAATACTGTGGTCTTATGGCCCTTGCCCGTAGGTAATAATATCGTGGTTTATGTATGTTATGCTACACTATGACACTATATGGATGATTCGGTCTTTAAGACCTAAGGATTTTTGGTATGGAACAAAGTGTTGTACGGAACTAAGTGCTGCTATGCGAGTCACCTCTAGAATCCGTACGAGCCACCTCTTGAGTCCATACATATATGAA